CTCACTCGAAAGACGGTGTGCATTGAGAAGAGAATTTCTTCTTCTTTTTTAAAATAACTCATTTCTTTGATGGAAGCAAATGGTATTGATTTAATAGAAGGATCAATGGACATTATAAAAAGAATGCCAACCGTATCCGCTTTTGTTGAAGCACGTCGAGCAAAATTGAGCGACACTTCTTTATCTTTACTGGTGGACAAGAAGTTGTTAAATGACATAAGTCCACCTTTTGCTTTCTGAAGTTTTTCAAAGTCTGATTTCATAAGACCTTGTCCTCGATAAACTAAAAAAGATTCTCTTTTATAACTACTGAGCTGTTGTTCGTACAGCTGTTGAATTTGTTGATGCACATCACGTAGAAAGAAGACCATGTTAATGATTATATCGGCATCCAACATTCGAAGTGCTCGATTGAGCATTTGATAGGTAAAACACTCACGTGTATACCACCATATTGCTCGTTCTGGATGATAATCAGTTTCGAATTCGTCAATAATTTTTAATTCGCCTTTGTTGTGAGGATAAAGTTCGCGAGAAAAAATGGCCAAGTCCTTGATTGCCTTGTGATCATATTGGGTATCAAGGAGTATTTCCTTCAATATTTGTATATACATGAAATTTGGCTCCAGCTGATTTAAATTGTCAGTTGAAGCCATTTCATTTATCGTAAGAAAACTTACGGCAATTGTGTCCTGGTCGCATTGTTTAACCGCCAATTTTAACGCTTGACAAATGTCTTTAATATTTGTATAGACACCTTCAATTTTTGTCCAGTTTTGTGTCCATTCTTGATGTCGAGATTTGTCACCAGAGAAGATATAAATGGCATCTAAGTGTGGCATGCCATGAATTTTAGGAACCAAATGTTGATCTAATGAGCCTGATATTATAACAAAAGCTTTTTCATTGTTAACTTGGTTGAGTACTTGGACGCATTGATCCGGTTGCGTGCATAGGTTAACGTCGTTGACAACATTCTTCAATTGAGCCAATGTATCTTGACAGTCCTTGTTTGTTTCATCGATGCTGGCATCTATCCATACGAGAAGATAGTTTTGTACCATACGCTGTCGTGGTTGATGAATATTGGTCGATGTCGTTGATTTTGATATTGTTGTAAGATTTTCATTTGATTTTTGTGCATCCATATCGTCGTAGAATGTAAAATGGTTCTTTATGTGTAATGAAATTGATAATGGTTGGTTTGATGGAAATCTGAAAGTAGTCTCGTCAATTTATATACACTCTAAAAAAAGGAGCACTCTTGGACCCTCCAAAAAGGTTTCGTAGGTTTCTGAAGGGTTCTGGATGCCTAAACAACGACTAAAAAATTCTATGAAACCTTAAAAGGATTCGGAGGCGAGTACAAACACTAAACAATGTACTGCAAAACTTCCTTTTAAGTTCCGTTCAGCATAAAAAGATTTTGTAGGGAAATATCGAACCTTTAGAGTTTCCTATTAAACCTGATACTTTCGTAGTAAGGTTGAGGGTGGATGTGAATACTCTATTTATTCTACACCTTCAAGATCAAACGGGAAAAGTTCACTAGTTTCAACTCTATGATAAATGACTACTTAACTATATTTTCGAGATGATGTTCTTGAAGAATACGTCATTATTCTATGGGAACATATTTTTCTAATTAACGAGAGAACGTTCTCAGGTGTTGGTCTCGGATTTCAATTATTTTCTGGCCCATTAGTACTATATAGTGCCCTAATAAAAACCCTAAAAGGATTTGAGTTGCTATCCATTCCTTCAAAGGTTATGGCCATTTTACTGAATTTTCTACCCGGTCCTGGGTATAGATCGGGAAAAGCTAACTAACGAATTTCTACTTGAAATTTCGCCCATAGATAGATATAATGATCCTAAGAATATCCTGAAAGTTTCAGCCAAAAAGAATCTTCCGTTATTGAGATATCGAATTTCCAAGTGAACTCGGTTCCTATGACCAATCTACGGCAAGCGAATATATTTTAAAAATTTGATATCTCAATAACGGAAGATTCTTTTTGGCTGAAACTTTCAGGATATTCTTAGGATCATTATATCTATCTATGGGCGAAATTTCAAGTAGAAATTCGTTAGTTAGCTTTTCCCGATCTATACCCAGGACCGGGTAGAAAATTCAGTAAAATGGCCATAACCTTTGAAGGAATGGATAGCAACTCAAATCCTTTTAGGGTTTTTATTAGGGCACTATATAGTACTAATGGGCCAGAAAATAATTGAAATCCGAGACCAACACCTAAGAACGTTCCCTCGTAAGTCATTTATCTGTCACAAAATAGTTTTAAATTTTCATCTCTGGTTTTAAATTAAAGTGTATATGACAGACCAGAGTAGCATTATTTGAAAAATGATAAAGATTACAAAGATGAAATCAAGAATCAGTTCGAAAAATACATTGTTTGTGGGATCCTAATAAATTTTCAATCTGTTTGTAAATATATGAATGAGAAAGCGCTTTGAATTCCAGTTAGTATTGGATTTCAGCGGAATTTCTATTTATGAGAATACTCACGCAGTATTTGATTATTTGAATTAATACTGCAAAGGAAACGTTGTTTGAAACAGCTCTTTCCTCTTTCCTTTCAACTATAAATGAAATGATGCGATGTACTTTCTTCTTTCTATAAATCTGATACCTAAAAGTAGGATCGGGCTGATTGAAAAGAAAAGAAAACGATTTTGTTTTTGAGAATGTGGATGTGGGTAAATGAGAATCGTTACTCTTTATATACACCCACATGCTCTAGCTGGTCCCTGATACCTAGCGGTGATCCCCACAATCTTCTGGGGATTGTACGTTGATAGTATTTAAAAGGTTTCGAAGCCTCCTGTAACTGTTCTAGGATGGGTGTAGAGGTATTTTTTCTTACTCATTCGCTACATCCGCATGACTGTTCTCACTCTTCTTGACCATCAACCCTTCAAAATACCGACCGTGCTCAACTAGATTATTTCCTTTATATTATAGTTGATGCATGTGAATGAGAGACTATTTTGCTCCCCCTTACTCACCTAACTAGTTGAAAACTTCATTGAATAGATAAATACTCGAAACAATCTTCGATCTTTACGTGTATGTACTGAAAGACAAAAAGCAACACCAGACTTACTATCTATTGTCGAGCTATGAAATTATTTACTTTTCTTCTTACAAGAATGGGAATAGTTTTTTTCCGTGAAAGAGGATGTGAAAACATAGAAAAATAACTTTTGTTCGTAAAGGAGAATGAAGTAATGCAAGCAAAGAAATTCTTCCGACAACCAGAATATAACGGAGGAGACAGACAAGTCTTTTTTCCGGGAAAGGGAATGTGAGAGCAAAGAAAAATTATTTTTGTTCGTAAAGGAAAATGAAGTAATGCAGGCCAAGAAAGTCTTCCAGGAGTCAGAATATAACGAAGGAGACAGACAAGTTTTTTTCCGGGAAAGAGGGTGTCAAAACAAAGAAAAATAACTTTTGTTCGTAAAGGAGAATGAAGTAATGCACACAAAGAGATTCTTTTGGAAACCAGAATGTAATGGGAAAGACGAACAAGTCTTTTTCCGGGAAAGGCAGTGTGAGAGCGAGAACAAACGATTTTTTTCCGGGAATGATACTGAAACTATTTTAAGGGTAGGTATGTGGTGGATATAATACTTCTACCACATCTTTAAGAAAAAAGATATTAATAAAAATTTCAGAATGCCAATTACTAAGAGTTGAAAAGGAAAAAAATCCATATCCCAGACCGATAATCAATAGAAGAATATAGCGACGTAGTTTTCTCATACACCAAATACGTACTATCAAATTATCTCGACCAACATCGGGTGCTTGTGTTAGTAGAATATATTTAAATCAACTGATGACCAAAAAATACGAGTTGATCTATAATTATTTTCGGAACTTTTGTATCGAAATATTCTGCATCTTGCAAATGTTTATGTGCTGAAGTGGATGTATACGCCATGTCATTCTCATATCCATTCGGCCTTAGAAGTATTTTTATAATCGTTATTCCTATCATGAAATGAATTCAGTATAAAAACAACTGTATGTTAAGCTTATTTTTCTAACAATATTTTTTAATACACTGATAGTCCTGTTGAATTATCATCTTTATTTATTAAAATCAAAAATAAATAGATTCGTCTGTTGTTGTTACCTTTCCACGACAGGCACTTCCATAAAGGCATGTACAAACCAAATTAAATATCGATAGACATGCTCCACCACATGGACGTTTCCTTGAAAATTTCCTCGGGATCCAATAACATTAGAACGACAATAATGCGCGCAAAGACCAGGATTGAGTCGACAACCATAACCAGCTTCAGCCATATCTAGAATGAATATTCAGGTCGTAAGTCAGCGTAATAAGTATATTCAAATGAATATTATACTGACCAATATTCATGCTGCATAAAATCAAGACCAAAATAATTGTTATGTCAGGTTTCTTTATAGACAAAAATAGGAGAAAGTGATTGATTTTCTTTTTAGAAAGAAAATTGAGGTTGATCTATATTGATATTGGGAGTGAGTGCGGGTTCATCTTTTCTTTATCCACATCCTGGTGCTCTGGTCCTTATAATAGCTCTAGCAATCTTGAAGCTACATCATACATTTTCTGTTTTTTTCGTACAACATTACCCAGGTCTATCAAAACGGCATCGTTTACGATTCAAAAACGGACCGTAAATGTTGTCAAAACGGATACTTTACGGTAGTATACAGCGTTGGTATGGGTGTGAGTGTGGGTGGGTGGATGTAAGCAACGATAGATATTTTACTCTCACACCTACATCTACTCACCCCACACCCCCAACTTGTCTAGCTATAACCGCAGACCAATGTAACTAAAGTTGAAGTTTCACTTTATAGAGATTATCTCGTTTTCTTATTCTTTTTATTCAATCAAAGAACGTGACTACCAAAGATTGGATGATGTAAAATCACAACCATATCCTCAGGACAGTGAAACTTAAATATTTCATATCGTTTATTTATTTTTAGTCAATGTTGTAATATTATTATTCAGTTTGCTTAATGTAAGATGGTCAGTTGAGGACAGTTTTTCATTCATATCTAATGCTTTCTGATAGAATTGAGTGGCAGTTGAATGATTCAATAGATTCTCATAGACAAGTCCAATATTTCTGAGAGTCGTTGCTATATCACGATGTTCGCCATTGATATCGAAAATTTTCTGTTGTATATCTAATGCTTTAAAATAATATTCTAATGCTATGTGAAAGTGGTTTTGATCAGCATAGATATTTGCAATGTTCATTAAACTTCTAGCAATATCATTATGATCAGGAGGTAGAAGCTTCTGTCGTATTGTTAAAGAAGTACGAAGATGATTGAGCGCAAGATCAAGATAATTCATCTTATAATAAACTTTACCAATATTTTCAAGAGACGCTGCAATATCAATATGATCGTTTGGAAAGTGTTTCTGTTGAATTGTTAGGCAATGTTGATAAAAGTCTAACGCATAATTATACTGTTGTGTTTCCTCATAAATTGAACCAATATTTTTCAATGTCTTTGCCGTTTCTAAATGTTGTTTACCATAATAATCTTCTTTCATATGTAAAGTTTGTAAATGTAATTGAAGTGCTTTTTCATATTGACACCATTTACGAAAAATAATAGCAATATTATTAAGCGCTTTTGAAGCTTGTCTTATTCGAATTGGATAACAATTCAAAGTCAAATCATGAGCAAGTTGATAGTTTTCCATTGCTTCCTTAAATTTATCTATTAAACGATAGATTTTACCAATCTGATTGTAGATATTTGCCATATCTTCTTCTACTTGCGTTTCTTTTAATAAAGTTTGAAAATATCTTAAGGCTTGATCATATTTTCCCATTGCTATAAGTAGTTTACCGAATACAATTGTATAATTCGTTTTCTCTCCTTCTCCTTCATGAAGTTTAACATAATCTTGAGCAAGTGTAACGCCTTTGTCGGTTGTTCTTAGTCGTACAATCCATAAATTTTCTTCTTTATTTTCCTTTATAGACATAATTTTAAAAGTTGTACCAATATCGAATAAAACTTCCTGTTCATTGATAAATTCACTGAGAACACTAATATCAGCCAAAGTCATTGTTGATTTTAATTCTTGTAAATTACAATGAATTTCATATAGAACTGATATACGATCTCGTCCCATATTCGTGTTTTGTTTTGCAAATTTCGAAGCAACTTCTTTTGAACGTGTTGTAGATAGATAACCATTTGTTGCAATTAGACTACCTTCATTGCATCTTAGAGTAGATAACTCGTCAACTTGCATTCGAAGGCCACGATAGAGAAGAAGAAATTCTTCTTGTCTCTTAAGCTTTTGAAATTCAATTGCGAGACGTGAAGATAAATCAGATATGAAAAATCGAAATGTATAAAGTTGTTCAATATCTTCAGTTCTCAATGCTTTATTTACTAACTTGTAAAGAAATGATTCTTTTGTATACCATCTAATAGCATCATGTTCTGAGATATAATCTCGTTGGAATTCATCAATTAATGATAATTGACGTTCATTTTCGTAGTAATATTTACGACAAAACTGAATCATCTGTTCTTTAGCTTGATTGTCTCTTGGCATCTTTAAAATAACCTCTTTAAATAAGTGAAACCAAAGAAATGTAGCTGATTCTTTGGATAGATCACGCGTGCATTTCTCTCCCGATTGATTATAGAAACTGAATACTTCCAATTGTTTTTCCGCATAAATAATATTTTCTCGAATAGAACGTATGAGATCGCGACGTTCACAGTAGATTCCCCCAATTGTTGTGTAATTATTAATTAGATTTGCATATTTTTCTGGATGTAAACAAAAAATAAAAATGGCAAGAATTTGTCGAATATGTTCAATTTGTGAAAGTAAAGAAGAAGCACATCGACCTGATGTTACAAGAAAGATTCTTTCATTCTTGATTGATTTAATATAATCTATACACGTTTGTTCTTCAGTATGAAACACCACATAATCACTTATATCTCTAAGTTCTTTTTGAGTTAATCTTGTATCTTCTTCATTTTCATTAATAGATGAATCAAACCATATCAATGTAGTACCTTCTAGATTTTGTGCTCTTGGTAACTTCAGTGTATCTTTTGCCGAAAATAATGATGTTGTAGAGCCAGGTGATGACTTGCACATTGTTTTCTTTGATTTCAATACAGGCTCATCATTTGTAGCCTTAACTAACTTTGTTGGATTCATCTTTTCTTGTACATCTCATACGTTTTTTCTATTCAGCGAAATAAATCTTTTCTTTTCTCAGAGAAACAATGAGAACACTTAAGTAAATCGACATTTCTTATACACAATCTTCATATTTATAAAGAAAAAAGAATAATACAAACACTATTTCTCTTTCGTTCTTCAGCTTCTAAAATCAGAACACAATATTTCTGTCGTGATTACATTAGTTTGTTTACTGTGCTTTTTGTTAAAAGTTTCTTCTCTACACTTATATATTTCAGACCATTTAAAATGCTTCGCTCATACTACACTATGCAATCTGTACATATACAGACAAAATTACCGAACAAACACAATATCTTAGTAGTTTTGAGGGTTTGGGTGATGAGTGATAGTGCCACGGCGAGGGTGTGGATGGGTGTGGGTAACGACGAATATTTTACTCTCACACCCACACCCACCCAGCATTCGCGCAAATCAGTAAAAGACTTTTCGCGGAAAAGCTTTCTCTGAAAAAACAATCACAGAAAGGATTCGACGATGAGATTCTTTCGCTATTGTGCATTTCGCGCATGTTTTTCGCTGAGAGAGTCGTTTTCTTTGCATTTCTGAGAATAGGGTGAGATTGCGTCTAGTTACTGTTATCATGATTCGTCCTCGCTACAGGACTCTTCAGACGAGTATGTGGGTGTCAGGTGATGTCAATACTCACAGCCTTGTGGATCACCCCCAACCACCTCGTAAAACCAAAATGATCTCTTCGTACATTTCCTTTCCAGTTAACTTGAATATTTTGCACGAAACTTCTCGTTGAGAGTTTGAATATGTGCGTCATGTTTTGCGCACAAGATGTTCATATTGAATATAGAATTGTTTAAATGTGACATTTATCTTTATGTATGATGGTTTTGCCACAGCTTTTCTCATTTTATACACTTAAATGCTGGGTTTTTTCCTTTTTTTCCATTCGTTCTCTTTCTTGCTTACTATAGAGCACGATGCTGATATTATTTATTTTAACTTTTATAAGAAGAAATCAGAAAAATGATACATTTAATGCTGTTAGAGGCATTTTAAACTTAGAGTCCTGCAAATCGGACGGGTACCCGGCCCGGACCTGGGTACCGGGTAAAACTCGCCGGGTCGGTTCGGGCATCGGGCGTAAAAAAAAATTCGGTTCGGGTCCCGCGTAGGAGTGTATACCCGACCCGAACCGACAACCAATGACATCACCAAATTTGTAACATTTTATTCTGATACTATTACTAATATGAAAAATGAAGTCACAATAAATCTAATAATGATTAAACGACCCATTAGCCATTGAAATATTTTATAAAGAAAAGTTTAGTTTCTTTCGAATAGCTTTTGTTATGTTTCGGATAAAAAGCTTTTATTGTTTTGTTAATTAACATCTTACAATACGAAAGGTAGATGTGGGTGTGAGCTTCTGTGTGTGTGTTCGGATGTGAGATAAGAGCAAGATCCACATCTTCAGCTAACTCCTGATTCACTTGTTTTTTTACGTTATTTTACATAATATATATTCTCATTTGTTACTTATAAATAGGAGTAGGGCAGTTCCATATTAGTTACGTTCTTAGGAACTGTATAATAGTTCTTTTGAACAGTTCATCTAAATTTGGAACTATGAACTGTCCTACCCCTACTTATGAATGAAACTAGACGTATTATATTTATTAAATGAAATAAAGGTTTAGAAATTTGATCATATTTTGAAAAATAACTGAGTAGACCGGTTCGGGTCCGGGTCTAGCTTATTCGGTCCGGTTCGGATCCGGGTGCATTACTAGCCGGGTCGGTTCGGGCCCGGGCGTAAAAAAAATTGCCGGTTCGGTTTCGGGTACAAAAAAGTGCACCCGTGCAGGACTCTATTTTAAATTACCCTAGATTTTAATTTCCTCTGTAATTTATACATCATAGAATATTCATCAAAGACAAAAGATCCTCTCCGTTTTTTTCTATTTCCTGCTTCAGTCAACAGATTGAAATATTTTTAGCTAAGAAAATTAATTCACTTTATAACGTCAGCAAATTGTGATGCGAGAGTAATAACAGGAAAGA